TGGATCGTCCTGGACGATTTTACTTAAACGATCTGAAACGACCCTATTTGAATATGTGTATGAAATGTCTTCGTACAGCTGATCGTCCTGTACGAACTAGGTTCGTCCAGTACGAACGGTTATTACAAGGTCGGTTCTAGAAACTATTGAAAACTGTTCTAAGTCGGTTAATCGTTTGGACGAGAATATGTTCGTCTGGACGAAATTTTTACAAAGAACCGATCGTCCTGGACGATTCTTGACTTCGTCTGGACGAAAATTTTTCAGAGGACCAATCGCAACGGATGATAATTTATTTTCGTTTGGACGAAAATTTTCCAGAGACCAGATCGTCTTGGACGATTATTAATTTTATCTGTACGAAAATTTTCTAGAGGACCAATCGCCATTGACGATAATTTAATTTTGTCTGGACGAAAATTTTATAGTGAACCAATCGTCCTAGACGATAATTAATTTCGTCTTGGACGAATAGGACTTAGAAAAATTTTTCGAGCAAGTTCCTATTCATTCCATGTGCTCTATAGGAGATAACTGTCTGATCGTCCAGTACGAACGGATATCATCCTGTACGATCAGTAAAAATTTTATATGATCTCCTTATGTGTGTGTATGTTTTTATTCACTCAAAATACAATCACTCCCTTTCAATTTGATTTCTAAGAAAAGTGCAAGCTTCAAATTTTATAAAGTATCTCATGCTGAATTTAATTTGAAGTCTTCATAGTCTGGAGTTCATTTTTCCTAAAATGTTTGTACACACAAGAGCAAATATAATTCTTCTAAAAAATGTTAGGAGATAACTACACATTTGAACAATAATGTTTGGAATCATCAAAACTTCATAAGTTGCAAAAATGTAAAGCATGCAAATAACAACTATCTTAACAGGTTGCTATATAGATTCAGTAGATGAGTTCAAGAACCCACTCCAATCACTTTCTTGAAAGCTAGCACAAGCCATCATGACTTAGCCAAGTGAATCTTCTATTGAAACTGACTCAAAATAGGAAGTTCACTTGAGTTTCGAGAAAGTCCTTCAACGTAAGATGGCTAAGAAAGCTATTGAAAAAGATAAAAATTTTATTACACATTAGGATGATCCTATCCCATTTTCCTAAGAGCAGTCTAGGGAGAAAGGAAGGGGCCAGTTGAAGGTTGATTACAATGTATTAGGTCACTTAAGGAATATTCCTTCTCTTTTAGTGCCTACGATGCTCTAATGATGTCTTCTGACTTAAGAGAGACTATTTTGAAAGTGTTGCTTAAGCTAGAATCTTATCAAGCCTTCTTTACTTCTAAATCTGATTGGGATGTATGTTCTTTGAGAGAGATATCATGTTGTACCTTTTTAGACCAAGATATTCTCTTATAGACTTTTGAGCATAATTATCCCTTGTATGTCACCGTTGAAGTCAATGGTTATGAGGTTAATAGGGTCCTTATTAACCAGGGAGCTTCAATTAATATCCTGAGTCCTGAAACTTTAAAGAGCCTCTCTCTTGGTTATTTGAAGCTTACCTCTGATAAGATTATATTGAAAGGCTTCAATGACTAAGGCCAGCAGGCTCTATGGTCAATCACCCTGCCTTTGAAGTTTGGAGGTTTCCTAACTAAGGAAAATTTTCATGTGATTGAAGCGGATACCTCATACAAGGCTTTCTTAGGAAGGCATTGAAATCATGAATATGGAGTGGTGCCTTTTACCTTGCACCAATGCATGAAATATATGAGGAATGATGGTGAGTATTCCATTACTAAGGATACTCGACCTTTTTTAGTGCATGAGGTCTTTATTTATGATGATGCTGAGCATTGCACACTTCAAAAGACTTATAGATCTCATCCTACCCAATCAAAAGTAATACCTACTAGGTCATATGAAACCACTTGCACAGGGTCCTATATAACCACTAGTATAGGTTCCATCACATATTGGTATTTAGGCAGGTATCTCTGTTGTAGATCCTATGGGATCTTCCATTCAGTTTGTAGTTGGGCATAATTTTTCCCCTAGTATTGGTAGGGGATGATGAGGTAGAGGTAGAGATAGAGAGTTGGCTCGCTCCACAAGAAACTTTGACACTCGAATTCCTCCTTCATTACATCTTTACACATCTCTTTGACTATCAAGTCTAACTCTTTGGATGATGAGATGATTGATGTTCCTCATCATTCAATTCTCTCACTAGCCCTAAATTCCTCTAATTAATCCTCTTTCTCCACCTTTTATATGTATTGTATACTTGAGGGTTACTTAGTTATAAATAGTAGCTCAGATGAGGAAGTAAGCTTTTAATATCAAACTACTAGCAAACAATCTTTTTCCCATCATATGTGTGGAATAAGAGTTGAGTAGTCTCTTTGAAGAGATTCTATTACTCCTTCCCTTAGCGTTGGTGGTTCACCTGCACAGCATAAATTCATTATGCCATAATGATCTTGTGAGTATGCCTCTTTATCCTATAGCATATGTGCCCCATTGGGTCCAGAGAGTTAGGGTCCTGCATATACCATTATAAATAGTGAGGTCACCCATGTCCCTCATTACCTTTTCTCTTTTGTGGAAGGCTGTGTTGAGCGGGGTGTCATTCCTTTTACTTGGTCCGATGAATGAGCTCTACAATAAGCCCGTATTTAGCAAATCGATTTGCCTCAAACCTAGAAAGGCTTTGATTATATTGAGAAAGATCAGTTTAGTTATGCTAACGTTCATGTTGTGTCTCACTCATATCTGATTATTTCCCTTGATAATGATGAAGACTCGAGTGCTGTTGAGTATATGGTCCTTGATGCTCCACATGAGTTCAAAGATGGCACCACTTCTACCATGGATGAATTATATAAGGTTAACTTGGGCACTAAATTAGATAATAGGCCTATTTTTCATAGTTCCTTATTATCTGACTCAGAGGCTAAAGAGTACATCAAATTACTATTAGAATTTAAAGATTGCTTTGACTGGAATTACATTGAGATGCCTAGTCTAAACCTAGAAGTAGCAGTCCACAAGTTTGGTATTAAGCCCGAAGCAGTCCCTATTAAATAATCACCTAATAGAATGAGGTTAGAGATTGAACAACAGGTGATCCTTGAAATTAAGAAGCTTATAGAATCTATATTCATTTATGAAGATAAGTATCTTACTTGGCTTGTAAATGTTGTTCTAGTCCGGATGAAGAGAGGACAGATTTCTGTCTATATTAACTTCAGTGATTTTAATAAGGTATGCCCTAAAGAAGATTTCCCTCTTCCTATCCTCAACATTATGGTGTATATTGCTTCATTCCATAGCATATTCTCCTTCATGGATAGTTCATTTGGTTACAATCAAATAAAGATAGCCCCTAAAGATGAGAAGTTCACTACATTTCATACACCTATAGGTGTGTTTTATTACAAGGTGATGCCCTTCAATCTCAAGAATGCCAAGGCTACCTATCAGCATGCCATCATAGTTATCTTCGATGGATGACACATGAGCAGGTTGAGTGCTATATGGATGATCTTGTGGTTAAAAGTAAGATCCATGGAGATTACCTTAGAGATTTGCAAATCATTTTTGTTCTCCTACACAAGTATGAGTTAAAGATGAACCCTTTGAAATGCATAATTGGTGTTAGTGAAGGAAAGTTTTTGGGGATTATAGTTAACTACTGTAGCATTGAGATTGATCCTTCCATGATCAGTGCTATAATGGACTTAAAACTTCCTAAGAGTCTTACCCAATTGAGATCTTTATAAGGTAAACTTGCTTTCTTTTGTAGATTCATCTCCATTCTTTGTGGTAGATGTCATCCCTTTACTTTCCTCATAAAGAAGGATGCTCGTTTTTATTGTAATAAACATTATTAGGAGGCCTTTGAGAGTATAAAGCGCTATCTGATGAACCCCCATTTTTTAGTTGCACCCATCCCATTAAGGCCATTAATTCTCTACACATCGGCCTTATATGAATCCTTAGGTGCACTTTTGGCTCAAGAGAATGAAGAAGGAAAGGAAAAAAGCTTTATACTACTTGAGCAGAAGGTTGATACCTGCAGAGCTAAAATACCCAGCAATGGAAAAGAAGTGTTTGACTTTAATCTTTACAGTGTAGAAGCTTAGACATTTCATACTTTCACACAAGGTTAACATAATTTCACAAGCTAACCCCTTGCAGTATTTGATGACCTGTCTGACCCTCTTAGGTTGTTTAGCATGTTGGCCTATAATCCTATTACAATTTGATATTACTTTTATTCCTAGGTAGGCCGTCAAAGGATAGGATTTAGCTGACTTTCTTGCTCAATTATGATTTACTTGATGAACTACTTGGGAGTACTATTTTAACAGTGCATCCTTCATTAAATCCTTATATCTAAATGAAACTCCCATAGTTAGGATAGGTTTCGGCCTTCTTTTTGTATCCCCTAAAGGCTATACTCTTAGATACTCCTATAATCTTTCCAAACCTCATACTAATAATGAAGCTGAGTACAAAGCACTGATCTTGGGACTTGAGTTAGTCATTCATATAAAGATTATGTGGGTGAAGATCTTTGGAGACTCCTAACTAATCATTAATCAAGTAGTCATAGTTTTCAAAGTGCTTAAGCTAGAGCTCTTGTCCTATCACAGCAAGGCAATGGAGCTCTTATGTTTAATTTCTGAAGTGACTTTGGCTAAAATCCCTCGATCTATAAATGGTAAAGTAGACATATTAGCTAAACTAGCTAAATAGTTGGCTTACCCATCTGGAAACCACGTGTCTAATGTTGTCGAGCATTATTAAGCCATGTGTCCAACATACTTATCTTCTTATGATAAGACCCTTGCAGTCTTTACTATTGAGGATGATTCAAAATAGAGAGCCCCTTTTATTGAGTATTTGGAATATGGTTAGCTCCCTGATGATCAATCTCTTATTGCTATAATTACAAAGGGAGCATTATCATTTGTTTATGTAAATGTCACCTTGTATTGATGCTCTTTTGACCAAATGTGATTACGTTCCCTTAACAATGGGGAGGATCATAAGGTCATCGGTAAGATACATGAGGGGCTTTATGGTGCTCTTTAGTATGAACTAAAGCTGAAGGGCATAATTTAACACCTAGGTTATTATTGGTCGACCATAATCTGTGACTATATGGAGCATGCTAGAAAGTGCCACCAGTGCTAGATTCATGGCATAGTGATTCACCAACCTCCTAATCTGGTACACCCTACTATTTCATCTTTGCCATATGAAGGTTGGGGCATGGATGTAGTGGGTCCTATTAGTCCTCCTTCCTCTAAGGGTCATCGATTTATTTTGGCTGCCATTGATTACTTATTTAAGTGGGTAGAAGCTATCCCACTTAAGAAACTCAAATTAGAGGACGTGATGCATTTCTTTCATGATTACATTGTTTACTGCACTGATATTCTGTGCTGTTTAATTTAGAAAAACCAAGATTGCTAGATTTCCCGCTGCTATAATATCAATTGGTGATACTCTTTGATTTACTACCCTAAATCCAATGGCTTTAAGGAGGCATTTAATAAAACTCTTGTATAACTAATAAGAAACATTCTCGTGGTAAATAAGTGAGAGTGGTATGATAAGTTATCTGAGACATTATGAGCCTATAGGACTACATAACATACTCCTACTCAATCTTCCCATATACTTTAGCATGCGGGGTTGAAGCTATCCACCAAGTTAAGGTTGAGCTCCCCTCGTTATTTGTGACAGATAGCCACAATCTTTCTCATGAGGATGATGCCTGAATGTGGTTGGAAAAAATTGATGGTTTATAAGAGCTTCATCTTCAAGCTCATCAAAACATCAAGCTATATTAGTCCAGCATGGTATAGTCACATGATTGCCTTATTCAATCCCATACTTTCTAGGTTGGCGACTTAGTTCTTATTTTATGTAGGCCTAACATTTTGTGTTGTCGCGAAAGTGATAAGTTTGAGCCTATTTGGCTAGGCCCCTTCAGCATAGTGTAAGTCTATGAAGGTGGTAGATACAAACTTGTTGATGCAAATGGTGTTCACTCTATGCCTATTATTAATTGGCAGTACCTAAAAAAGCACTATGCTTAAGTTTAATATGTTACATGGGAGCTTCCCTATCACTTATAAATATTCCTCTATATAGGTTCCACCTGAAGGGATTCCTCTTACTTTTCGGTAGTCTGTGTGGCCAAGATGATTTGTCCTCTACCATATAATATTCATTACGAAGAGTATAAGGCTATCCTTAAAGATGATATGTTAATACGCCATAGGGATATTTGTGCATATGTCTATGCACACCAATCACATTGGTGTTAGTGCATAAAATCATCAATTTATTTCACCCTTGCTAGGGTTTTATTCTTCCTAGTTTCACTTGTCACCCCATATTTATTCTTGGTTATCAAAATTAATATGTATTACTTTCTTGTATTTCTCTTGTTTCTCTAGTGTAAACCATATGATTTGTTTATATTTTGCCTAGCTCGGTATAACTTATAGGATTCATATACCTTTATATTCAAGCTTTATAGTTTTCTAGATTTAAAATGTTAATGTTGATCCTATACTAATATGGATTTCATTCATACATCAATTTTTTTGTAACTGTGCTCCCCAGTTCATTCACATGAGTTGAATGTGGCATGGATTATCAAAGTCAATATGTCACTTCTTTATAGGTCTTGTAAAATCTTTGTCCCCCCTAGTTTTATTCATGTTGTGAATATGTCCTTGGTTATCAAAGCCACCCATATCTCCCTCTCTTTGTATTATGGTCATTAGAGAATATTTCATACTAGGAATAACTCATGGATATGGTAAACGTTCCCTTTGCCATTTGTTGACCACGATAGTATGGGATGTACCCAATCTATGACTGTGATATATATATATATATATTATAGATAGGGAAGCTCTCGGTAGAGTAAATTCAGTTACCCTTGTCATAAGTGGAACCTGGCTTTACTCTCCAAGAGCTCAAGTTCCCCCAAAATGTCTCTTTCCCTCTACTTCGAAGCATCTCAGTGATTACTTTAGGGATGACCCTACACTTATTTTTTTAGTATTCTTTGTGATTGTCATTACCTTCACTGGTGATTTGGTACATTGTGTTCTTGATGTTAACATCACTTCTTCATGGCTTGGATTTTTCTAAGGAAAGATCAACCCCCTTTCTACACTATTTTTAAAACCTACTCTCCCATTTATACCCTACTCTTAGTTGCCAGAGTAGTTTGATGGATGTGTTGGTGTTGCTTTCGCTTACCACAGGGTCCCACCAGTTGGTGTGGGCATTACCATTATGAACTTCTATTAAATGTTGATCCAATTCATAGTTATTAGCCTTGGTGGCAAGTGTATCCCCTTGCTACTTTAATTTGTTTCCCTAGTTGTGATGTAGTACATCATGTCTTAGATG